TATATATATTTATTTTTTTAACAAAATAAGCTATTTTTTTTATATGAAAAGAATATAATTTTTGGCACATAAAAAACCCATATATATGTCCTTATAATGTATAGTGTATATTTACCTTGGGTTATTAAAAAAAAAAAAATCCAAACTTTCAACAAAGCACCATTAAATCCATTGTAACAAATCGGAAAGAATATGGCACTAATACAAACCTGACCAGAGCAGGCCATCCGCCAAAACTCACAGAGGAGGCAAGAAGGGCATTATTCAGAAATGCAACATAAACCCAAACATAACACTAAAAGATCTGCACTGATCCACAGCAGATATGGGCGTATCTGTCCATCGGACCATCCTAAGCCATACACTCCACAGAGTGGGGTCTTTTGGAAGAGTGGTTTAAAAAAAGAAGAATACATGTTTGGAGTTAGCCAAACAGCATACAGCAGACTCCACAAACACATGGAATAAGGTTCTCTGGTCAGATGAGATGGAAATTTAGCTTTTTGGCCATCATGGGAAACGCACATCACACTTTCTATCACCCTGAGAACACCATTCCCACAGTGAAGTATGGTGGTGACAGCATTATGCTGTAGGGATGCCTTTCATTAGCAGGGATTGGAAAACTAGTCAGGATTAAAGGAAAAATGGATGACACTAAATACAGTCTGCCAGAGATTTGAGACTGGGATGGAGATTCAACTTCCAGCAGGACAATGGCCCTAAACATACTGCTAAAGCTAACTTGGAGTGGTTTAAAAGGGAATCATTCAAATGACTTCAAATTACCTAGCCAAAACCCAGACCTCAGTCCACTATAGAAACGGTGGCACAAGGAACTTGAAGAATTGGCTAAAATCTCAGTGGCTAGATGTGCTAAAATAATAGAGATATACCCCAGGAGACCTGCAGCTGTAATTGCAGCAGATGGTGGCTCTACAAAGTATTGACATTTAGGGGTAAATATTTATGCACACAAGATTTTTTTTTTCTTAATTATTGTTTGTGTCACAATAAAAATGATTTGCACCTACAAAGTGGTATAGCCATTTGCAAGGCATTGTACATAGAAAACAGCTCAAGCAGTGATGTAGCAAACAATCTTGATTAAAGTTAGTGAGGAAGAAAGTCCATGAAGCACTAGAAAATGCATCCAACCTCCTAGTGTCTAAAGACACTAGCAAAAAAAAACTGAGGCATGCTGGGTATAGGCAAGGTTATGTCTAAACCTTGCCAGTGTCTAAACCACCTGTAGGCAGCAGTATAACTTGTCTCTTAATTGACAAGAAAACTTTTTTTTTTTTAAACTAAAGATACTTATCCTGGTGTGTTAGCTTTGTGAATTAAAGTGACATTAAACCCTCAGATTTTTTAACATAAAACAATACTGTAATGTGTGCCTTACTGTAATCCATGGTTGTTTCCCTTCTCTTTGCTGCTCTTCCTTTTAAATCTGTATCCGTTCTCATGCTGGGCAGAACTTCTGTTTTGCAGCAGACTGCCTTGTCTTTGGAATGGCTACATGGTGTCTGTGTGTGTAGGTTTGCAACCTGAGCCAGCACTACAGGAAGAGGCATTTCAGCTGCAAAGGGAAGTTCTCCCCAAGCATGAGGATTTAAAAGGAAGAGCAGCAAAGAGAAGGAAAACTACCATGCATTACAGTAAGGTACACATTACAGTATTGGTTTGTTAAAAAATCTGAGGGTTTAATGTCACTTTAAGCCTTAGAGCACTTTAATAAATAGGGTTAGAAAAGGGCTAGGATGTGCAGTAACCCATACCAGCCACAGATTGAGTGCAGCTTACTGTAGTCAGGCCAAGTAACAGGGTTTTACTGCACACTATCCTTTACCTTCCTCAGCAAAGGGTTAGTTCCTTCTATTGCTAGCCAGACAGCTGTGCTCTAAAATATACTGTCATAAGACGATAAGACATCCACCTGAAATAAGAGGCCTTTCATAATACAGACTTCACTTGATGCAAAAAATGTAAAATTTATTGTTACTGAAGATGCAGTACCTTTTTCTTTTATAAATATAAGCCATATAAATATATTTTTACTTAACACTGACAACAGACATTGTAGGGTTCAGCAGATTCACCTGCAGAAAACGTAATTGAATAAAGCAAGGTCCGAAACTTCAAAGCATTTGGCAATGGTCTTCAGATGCAAGGTTAGAATATAAAGAGAGGCACTTTAGTATGGAAAGAACACTGTGCCTTCTACATTCAGATTGTTAAATCAGGTATGTTTGCAGAATACAGTCTACTTTAAATTAATCGCATGTTACTAAAATTGTCAAATAGACTGGTATCGGTTAAACTGCTCCTAAAGCGTCTTGACAGAGTGTAGATGCACATTTTTGTCATTTCTTTACCATTAATATTTTCAAAATTAAAGGGTAAGTGAAATTATAAATTAAATCCGCTAGCCTATCCCGCCGTGCCATCAAAATTAAACTTTGTAAAACATATGACATAGCTCAGATGCAGACGAATAATCTCCTAACTGTCCATTGTGATACAGCTTAAAAGCATTTCCAGCTTGTGGAACCCTGCTCTTCCTTAAATCCATATTCAACTCAGCAACAAGGTGTTGGGCTTGGCAAAAGTGAAAAACAGCTGGCCTGTACCTTGCTTGGCCAATACCATGGGATACCATTATTGGCTAGGCCCAAAGTCAAGAAAGAACAGGGCACCAACTGTTGGAAATGCTGTCTGGCCATTGGCAGGCTGTGCACAGGCTGTGCAGTGAGCAGTTCATCCTTTGTGCATCTCAGTCCTATATTATTAATTATAAACATGATCAGGAGAATGGCAGGAAGAGGTGGGACTTACATTTATAAATTCAGCTACCCTTTAATACTGACGTCTCCTAGCAAAATATTTCCTGTCAGTATTAAAGGCAGTTACCTGGTTGAAAGGCCTAGGACCATCTCCCAATAAAGAGGCTTTCTGTGGTGGGGGGTGGGAAGCCCTCTGTGGGTTCTGTTGAGAATTTCCTGGCTGTCCTTGGGTCACTGATTGTCCACGAGTATCTTGAGGTAGTCCTAAATTTGTCCCTCTGCTTTGAGGACCTCTAATTTCATGAGGGCCACCCATATCTGGAGGTCCTCTAACGTCTTGAAGATTGCGCAAATCCTGAGGACCCCTCATATCTTGAGGACTTCGCAGGTCTTGAGACGCATGCATATCCGATGAGCCCCTTGAGTCTGATGTACTCCTCATATGCTGGGGACCGCGCAAGTCATGCGATCCTCTAATATCACTAGATCTCCTCATATCCTGAGGACCTCGCATCTCTGGTGGAACCCTCATATCCTGCTGACCACGCATTTCTGGTGGCCCTCTCATATCATGAGGTCCTCGCATATCAGAGGGACCCCTCATATCATGTGGCCCTCTCATATCAGGACCACCTCTCATATCCTGTGGGCCACGTACATCAGGACCTCCTCTCATATCTTGCGGACCACGCATTTCAGGACCACCCCTCATATCTTGAGGGCCACGCATTTCAGGACCACCCCTCATATCTTGTGGGCCACGCATTTCTGGTGGTCCTCTGTCAGGAGGACCTCGCATATCCTGGGGCCCGCGCATCTCCGGGGGGCCACGAATATCAGGTGGACCTCGCATATCCTGAGGTCCACGCATGTCTGGGGGACCACGCATATCCTGAGGTCCACGCATGTCAGGGGGACCACGCATATCTTGAGGCCCTCGCATGTCAGGTGGACCTCGCATCTCTGGAGGTCCACGCATGTCTGGAGGACCTCGCATATCCTGGGGTCCACGCACATCAGGGGGAGCTTGAATATCCTGGGGTCCATGAATGTCTTGGGGACCACGCATGTCTGGAGGGCCTCGTATCTCATAAGGGCCTCGCATATCAATAGAGTTACGCATATCAGATGGCCCCCTCATATCCTGAGGGCCTCGCATGTCTGGTGGTCCCCTTATATCCTGAGAGCCACGCATATCTGGCGGTCCTCGCAAGTCCGGGGGACCCCTGATATCTTGAGATCCATGCAAATCTGGTCCCCCCCTCATATCCTGAGGAGGACCTCTCATGTCGGAAAGGCCTCTCCTATCTTGTGGTGCATGAACGTCAGGAGGTCCTCTCATATCTTGAGGTCCACGCATATCTGTAGGGCCTCTCATTTCCATTGGTCCATGTCCAATCAATGGTCCAGAAGGACCTCTTAAGTCTTGTGCTGGATGTCCCATTAGCATACCTTGATTAGGCCCCTGATTATCCCGTAGTCCATGTGGACCCTGGGTTCCCCTGGGAGCCACCCCCATAAGTGGTCCCTGAGGACCTGGTGCTCCTTGCATGCCATGATGAGGGGCCTGTACTCCCAGAGGACCTGGTGTCCCTTGAGGACCCAAATGACCTGGTGGCCCTTGATTAGCCTGGGGTCCCATTGGTCCATGAGGAAGTCTAGGCATTCCAGGATGCATTTCTTGGGGTCTTATATTCTGTGGTCCAGGACCCATGAAACCCTGTGGTCCTGCAGATAGCTGAGGCCCTTGTGGTCTAAACTGTCCTTGAGGGCCAGGTTGCATGTTCATTGCCATCTGCTGGGGTGGAAGAGGTTGCTGGTAATTTATTGGAGGTTGAGTCTGTGGGCCAGGTGGGAAAGCAGAAGGAACTTGAGTAGGTACACCCATAGGAGAAGCAAGTCCCTGTGCCTGGCCTGGAGCCTCTGCCTGCTTCTGGGCTATTCTTTCAATTTTCAGTTGCTAAAAAGAAGAAAAAAAAAAAAAAATCCATGAATGTATTAACATGCAACACTAGCAAAGTAAATCTAAATGTTCCAATTCACAGAAGAACTCCACTAACTAAAATGATTCACTCTAAAAGGGAACATGTCGCTAAGGCAAAGGCTTCAGTGACAGTGTTGATAAGATATAGAACAAGCAGCAGTGTACCTGGATAACTTTGTCCTAAGACAAGTAGCCCTAATTGAACATTAAAAAAAAAATTGAAAATACCAATAAAAAGACAAGCACACAAACTGTTTAGATGTGTGAGAGGCAGTGAGCCAATTAAAGGAACAGGGAGACAGATTCTGGGAAATGCTGTCAAAGTGACTGGTGCTGCAAGGAAGACATTTTTTTGGTGGCTACAGAAAGTCACCGCTGCCTGCAAACTGGAATGGAAAAAAAAAAGTTAGCATTATTGAATCACAAAATGGATTATGTAGCATTTAAAATGCTTTGTCTCCGAGCTTAAGGTAAAACTCCACTATCCCATTTCAATTTGCAACCACTGTCATTTTCTGACACTGTCCAATTTTGCCCACTTATAGTATGGGAACCTTAAGGCAGGCTATACTCACGAAAAATGTAATCTCCTGCCTGTATGATTGACTCACTGGTTTTCTCAGAAGTCTGTACTGAGAACAGCTTCCCCCAACTCCCACCGCAATAGGCGTTTTATTTTTGGTGAGATAAGGCTTGTGTACTTTTAAAGAGATTTAGACACTGAAGCTTTCCTCATTAGAACATTGAGATATGCTCAGGTGGATATACTGAGAGCTGACCTTCCCATTCAGAAATCAGTCTGGAAAGGGCATGGTAAAGGGCAAGGAAACCACAATTTCCTAAGAAAAGGGTAGGAATCTACATTAAAGTTTGCTAAAATCCTTGCAAAGTATATAGATTACCTAGAAGGGACTATATTTACTCAACAAAACTAGAGTTACACATAAAATATTTTTTATGAATAAATATATATCACTGAAAATTACACACATGATTCAAGTAAATTAAGTGCTTCATGTTTTGGTTGGATTGGTAAAGTAAAAAGTTACAAATTAGGAAAATGGAACATTTGGCAGTTGTGAGAAATATAGCTAGACAGAAATATCTTTGTGCTTTCCCACCATCAAATAGGAAAGCATAGCAGACCCACATCCTGTACAGGTGAAGCTGTACAATTCCCTTTTTTTATATATATATATAATTTTTTTCTCAGAAATATCATGAAAGCCTAACTACATCTAAAGCAAAAACCTCCTTTGGTTTTGCCCAATTCCATATTGGCTAATATATGTACTGTATTTGCTGGCGTATAAGACGGGTTTTGAGACCTTAAAACATCCCCCCAAAAATCGGGGGTCGTCTTATACGCCGGGTACATACGGAAGGATACGGTATACTGATGGATGTTAGTGGGTGCATTTAAACATTATTTTGGGTTATATTATAATAAATCTAACCTACATAGTAGGTTAGTACATGATGGGAAGTACATGATCATTTAGACTTTGTCAATCACTCTAATGGCTGAGGTGTGTAAAGACTGATCTACACAGTATGTGTACATAGCGGCAAGCAGATAAGACTAGCAAATGCTCGCATTTACAATTATATTCACATTGTGCTCAGTTTAACAAGTGAAGCATCTTATAATGCTGTATTTATAAAATATGAAGGATTATCAGCATTGAAAAACATACTTCCAGCAGCTGGGGGTTTGTATACTGTAGTGCTGCCATTTCCTGCTCAATCTCAGCCTGGTTCTTCTTCTTCTCATCAGGTTTCACCTCTTCTTTCCGTTCAGGAGCAGTTTCTGAAGATGGCATAAGAGGAACTTTATTCTGTAACCAAGCCTAGGAATAAAAAAAAAAGACAAACTGGTCATTGCTGGTTTTAAGGTGACCTAATAAGAAATGTTATAGTATGGTATAAATAAATAAATTGAACTAGGGCACGATTGCCAGATCAGCATCTACAGCTACCCCTCAAAATACAATGGAGTCACTATTTTTCTGCTGCTTGACGAATGTAAATCAATGAAGAACCCCTTATAATGACCACCTCAGTTGGGCAGAACTGAACGTTATCGCCTCAGAAGTCACAAAGTATGTACAGCGGCATAAGAAAAAAAAAATCTATCCCATTCACATTTGTCTGAGCTCACGGCTGCTAATTTTAAACCCCAACAAGTCCATTTCTAAAAGCATTTCACGGGAAAAAGAAATTCTAAAAATTGTTATAAAAAGGTTTTGCACGAACTTGTTGAAACTGAGCAGGGATAGGCTTCGCATATGGGACCTTCTTCTGCGGAACTTTCTTCTGGTCTTTCTGCATCAACTCATCCATTCCCCAGTCTAAGCCAGGTATGGTCATCTCCACCGCGCTTGCCTCTTCTTTCCCTAGAAAATGCATAAAGGAATGTCACACACAGTATCCAACATAGATGAGCTAATAACAACTCTTACATTTCCTTACCCATTTGTTCTTGTTCCATAGCTATTTTCAGTTGTTCTGGAATACCCATTCCTGGAATAATTGCAAGATTGTTTGGCTCAACATCATCTGAAGGAAGAGAACGCATTATATTTGTTAAGGTTTTACATGTTGTACACTCATACTTTTAAGAACTATAAGAAAACAAGATTACGATACAAGCTTGGAAATTTGAGGATGAAATGCTTATATGTGGCTGCAATTACTTCACTTTTAACCACTCAATTTATATGCATGGTGGCTGAAGGTTTAGAACACATTAGATGGGATGTTTACAAAATAAGTGAAGGTTGAGTGCTGGACAATTTCTGCTTATTACTTAGGTAACACATCATTTCCCCAACCACTTACTGGACAAAATACAAAAAAAAACTGGTACAATACCAAATGATGAAATTTGCATTCGGAAAAGTCCACGTGTAGATTAAAAATACATTAAAAGAGGAGAAATTACACTATTCACAATCTAAGAAAGTGTTATAAATGTTTTCTTTAGAATTTGAAAACACATGGTGAAAGGGAGATGACCAGGATCCATTCGTTAGCATTGTGGGTTACCAACCACATTGACAAGAACGCAGAAGCAGGGGGACACAGGGCAGTCATTCAACACTAAACAGACACACAGTAATAACACTGCCAAGGATCACAGCTAGTGTACACATGAAGGTTACCATATTCCATGCCATCCTCTGACATTCCAGGGAGAAGGTTCAGATTGTAACGGTCTCTCATTTTGTCTCCAGGACGATTTCTGGTCCAGAATTTGCTAGATACAAATTTAGGATAAGCATCATGCATATTCATCATTTGACTGGTTTCCAGTAGGTAAATAACAAAAGATGAAATATACCTGGTATGATCATTGGATCCAGAGCACAGAATATGTCCAAGAGGGTGCCAAGCAAGACTCCATATCATTCCTTCATGAGCAATCTCCATGCCACCTACTTCTTTCTCCACCCTATGATAAAGGAGCAATTATTTTAATAATGCAATGAGAAATCAAGTGTGAGCCACCATTAGACAAACATATGAAATACATACCCAACATGCCAGAACAAAAGAGAACCATCAGAGCCACCACTAGCAAAAAGACCTTCATGTACTGGATGCCAGGCCACAGCTAAAAGAGGAAAAAATCAACATCAGTTCATGGTTTTCTAGTCAAGAAAGGAAAGTACCTGTCGCAACAATGAGATCCTATCAGATGTACCGATTTCACTTCAATATGTTCTGTTTGATTGCTGCATGTCACTGCACTTTGCGTGATATTTTTGACTAAACATTTTTGTGTTAACTTGGGAAAAAATTAAGGATAGACTGACCTGTAGCTTCTTTTTTGTGGCCTCTGAACACCTGCAGTTCTTCACGAAGGTTGCGGATATCAAAAAGTTTGCAAAGATGATCACGTGATGCTGTAAGTAACCAATTTCCATTCAAGTTCCACTTTACCTCCATTACAGTATTCTTGTGAGCATGTCTATTTGAGATAGAATGAAAAAGTATAAGCTACTGTATATGAATGTTGTATAAGGGTTGACAAGAATACAAAAAGCAAGAACAAGCTACAGAAAATGTCATGCTTTGCTGCTGGAATATTTACTCCATGCAGTATCATACCTGTATGGCCATAACCATTTTCTAATTATATGGGAAGAACTGCCTTTGAGGGTTTCCCCTCATAACGGCAAATAAACATGTAACAGCATTGATTCATAAAAAGAGGGAGAGGAGAAAAGGGTGACAACAATCAC